ATTTTTTTCTTCCAGTGAGATAATGCATAAAAGAGAGACCAAGGAATAAATTATAAAATTGAGAGGACAAAATATAATTAGGATAATAAAATTGAAAAAAAAAAATATTATCTTTTTGTTCAAATTATCGTTACACTTATCTTATTGAAAAAAATAAGTGTAATCATAGTCATCATATCCATTGTGACCTCATCATCATCATTTCATGGATGGGATAAGATAATTTAGATTAGTTTGTTTCTTTGGTGCTCGACTGGCTAATGGCTCGTTGAGGAAGACCCGATTTGGTTAATCCTCTTATAAGAACATTAAAATTACAATTCTTTGCTTTAGTTTTATGAATATTATTGAACAATGTTTTTGCTAGTCGTTTACATTACTTTCATTCTTATCTAACTAGTAGTCTCCATCCATCTACCACCTCACCGAAAATTTTGTAAGGAAATCACATATTCGTACACAATTATATGGATATATGTTGATTAAATAGTAAAAACTTCAATAAGAACACTATCTTCACTATGAAATTTTCCTCCATCTAATTGTTTGTAGCCTTATTTTCTTATGTGAGAGGTGTTTTGGACATCAATCAATGGATAAAAAAGTGCTATTTGTATTGTGGATACAAAAGATTGATTATACATAAGTATTACATGTTATATTGTTGTTTCACTAGTGATATGTAAGGGATATAGCATGCAATATAAGATGCCTTTGAGTATATATTAATAATCATAATATAGAAAAATTGAATATATTTTTATACTATATAGCAAAACCTCGTTAACTTTTTGAAGAATTTGTTGTGCATGGGGAAAAATAAATAGGACACTTTCCCTATATTCATTTTCTTTTAAATTAATTGCATGAAGTGCATTGGGTCTCTTAATAAAATATTATATATCATGTAGGAAATAAATTGAGTCTATAAATAAATGTCTCTCAATGCAATTAAAAGTGAACATGATCTAGCTTATGTGGCAATAAAAAAAGAGACCAAGTCGACTCTTGGGTCTATTTTCGACCCAAGTACAAACCTGAATACTCCAACATTTATTTCTAATTTAATTTTTCTTTTGATAAAGGAAGCATATTCGAGAATATTTATTGGTTGTCAAGTATTCTAGACCTAGTATTTTATTTTCGCACTGAATAACTTTTGGGTTTTTTTTTTACTTGAGTTTGTCCATGTCATTTGGGGCTTAAGTCTATTTATATGTCACATATGTAAAATTAGACTCAATACACTGTGTGTGCCATCTGTAATGGTATGAGTCAAGTTTTTCCTATGTCACATATAATTAAACCCAACATATAATTAAACTCAAGTTTTAGATGACATGGATAAAATAATATAAAAGTAACAAAATTCACTCCAATGCAAGAGACTGAGGTCTCTACTTGGGTCTAAAAATAGACTTAAGTGTAGACTGGGTCTCTTTTTCTTGATATCATATCAGCAGGACTCAGTCTACTTACAGTTGCATCGGAGAATATATATTTTTTTAAACTGGGTCTATTACCTAGGTGGCATATAAATTTTTTTAATTGAATTCAAAGCATTGTGGATGCTCACCGCCACGCACACGTGGAGATAATGTGGCGGCATACTAGACACGTAGACATGAGGTGTTATTCCTAAAGGGACACGGGATATTTCAATAAATTTTATCTTTATTTTGATCAATTTAAAAAACTACAAACTATTGTATATTTATCAATTGGATCATGATGGAACTACTAGTTGTGATAACTTAAAATTGAATCTTCTGCAGTTAAAGCAAGAGAAATGGAAAATCAAGATTTACGCAATGTCAAATACTTACCTCCAACGACTCATCGTTTCAATCAATTAAACTAAAACATCTTTTTCATTTTCGTGATTATTAAGATGCATGCTAAAAAATGTAATTTATAAAAGTCAGAGGTCGTATAATCTTATTCCTCACGAAATTTTTTAACGGTTCAAACACGGAAATCACATCTTGTTGTTGTCCTTGTGGCCTGTGGGACAGGATAAACCTAGACGACTTTTGCTTTACCCTCAATTTTCCAACATTTATTTCCTTTTCATCTATTCTAATAAGAAAAAAGAAAACCTCTTTTTCCTTGTGTTGAATAACAAGTGGAGATGAAAATCCTTTATCCCCATCAATTTGCATACCATTGCCAATTAGCACCCCCACTTGGAAAGCATTTATATGTAATTTTCTCAACTCTTTTTTTTTTTTCTTTTATTCATGAAAACATTTGTGCTTCTGTAAACAAATCATTTGGGATCATAAGATGGATTTGAGAAAGAAAAATATTTTTATTCAAGCACATTTAGAAGTGTAAACAAGCCAAACCAAACAGGGGCGGATCTAGCAAATATAACAAGGGGGCATAATTATTTAATGAAAAGAATATAAAATATTATAAACAATATTGTAAATACCAAAATATACATTCATAGTTGTTCTTTACGAGTTTTCATGACATGATATCGCTTGATAATAACATTATTACTAATTTTCAAGAAGGTTTTCTTTTCTACATAAATCAGTAGTCTATCATTTAAGAAAACATCACTCATTCGATTCCACGCTAGTTGTTGCATCTGGAAAAACCAACGCCAAAGTTCAAAGTATCTCATTTTGAGACATTTTCCCAAGCACTTTGTTGGCGAGACATTTTTTGAAAATATGTCTCCATATCTGATATACAAAAATAATATTATAAATTTACAATCAATTGAAATTCTCTATTTCAGCATATCACACCTTAAAAAGTTATAAGCACATTAGGGATTGAATTTGCAATTTCTACATAAAAATAATAAATTTATCACTAACTAAAAAATAAAGAAGAATAATTTTTATCTGCACCTAATTATTAAATATAAAGAAATTTCGTTACCTCGCAAGTAGTTTGCTCGAACAATTGAATCATTAATTGATAAGCTCTTTGACTATTTTCTCTCTTTCCCCTCTCATATTTCTCCTGTTTCTCTCTTTTTCTTTGCCTCTGTTCGTGGCCTTTGTATTGCAAGGCTCTCTTTTATTATGCAATGTCAATTTTTTTATTATGATGCAAGACCCTCTTTTATTAAATTTATATAATGTTAATTTTTTGTTAAATTAGGATTTTTTTGTATGGGCTTATAATTAGGATTTTTATTTATTTATTTATTTATTTTGTGTGGGCTCATAACTAGGAATTTTCTTTTGTATGGACTCATAATTAAAATTATATTTAACTAGGATTTTCTTTTGTATGGACTCATAATTAAAATTATATTTAAATGGACAAAGGCAATATGGCTATTTAAATGAACTTAGCTCTATTTATGGATTTTCTTTTGTATGGACTCATAATTAAAATTATATTTAAATGGTCAACTAGTCTGAATGTGGCTCCGCCCCTGAAACCAAACTCGTTTCTGATACTCAAGCTAGAGCTAAGTTCGACTAGTTGACCACACGAGCTAATAAACAACTCGAACTAGACTTATTTATCAATATCAACAAGCCGATTTAAATTTTACTCAAAAAAATTTATTTATTGTCTTGAACAAACCTTAACGACAACGAGCTTTAAATAAGCTTAAACCCAACTTATTTAATCCGAACTCACAATCAACTTGTCTCATTTAACAACTCTAAAGTCCAAACTTGTCTCATTTAACAACTCTAAAGTCCAAACGCTGTATTATTATACAGTTCTTAAGACAAAAAATACAATTAGGTCAACAGGTTTCCATGTTTTTGTCCTTGTGTGTTCAAACTTAAACCGAGTTCTCCAAATTTGAACATTACTTTTAATGCTCAACCAGACAAATATCATTATAAAGTTTTAGTAGAACATTTCATGAATATGATGTCCAACTTCACAGTTCACACACCGTAATTTCTTGTCCCATATAGTACGTATATTTATCCCTAAGCAAACCTAAGTTCTCCTTTTTCATTTAATTGGTCATTAAATTACGTGGTGGAGATTGAGATTAGTACTTGTGAATAATTTGGTTTTTCTCAATGAGTTCATGCACCAGCTGTATTGTGGGCCTTGTGGCCCATGTAGGACCAAAATATTGCCTTATTCTTTTTTTTTTCCAATAAAATATTGCCTTATTCAATAAGTTCAAATTATGAAAGGGGTTGAGAAAGAAGTCAAATTTTATTATGGCTACTAAAGTCTCTATTCGCCCTTTTTCTGTGTCTTTTTTTTATATATATTATTATTGTCCAATGAAGGTAGGGCTACATGACTTCATCATTCAAGTTGAACCATTGCCTGCAGCTGGTACTTCATGGATTCTGATCACAAAAATCGAGTTATATGAGATAAATAAAATAAAACATAATAATAATAATAGTAGTAGTAGTAATATAATAATAATAATAAACCTGCATGAGTAAAAAATCTAAAAATAGAGGACTGATTAAACACTTGAAATTCAAATTTTCCTCACAAAAATAGGATAATTTAAACAACAACAACAACATACCCAATATATTCCCAACAGGTTGGGGTCTGGAGGGTCAGTTGTACACAGACCTTACCTTTGTAATTATACAAGGAGGTTGTTTCCGTAGGGACCCAAGGTGCATTGCGTCGTTTGATATATTTTTTTTCTAAAAACTTCACAAATAGAAGAAGCACTAGAATTTAATTGAGTCATTTTGATCTAGTCCATTATTAGCACTATGTCAGGAGATTGTCAACAATGACTCTTCCAGCTCCATTTCAACTTCCCCTTCTCGAAAGTAAGAGAAGAGAAGAAAGATCCAGAGATTAATGTAAAAGTTTATACTTAAGCTATGCAATGTCGTGACGAGAAGGGGTAGCTCAGCTGGTAGCACCCTTCACTTGGGACCAATAGGTCACGAGTTCGAGTCACCCAATAGATAAGTGGGGAACCACTATTGATCCTCTTTTAAAAAGAAAAAATTATAATAATAATAATAATAATAATAATAATAATAAATTATGCAATGTCATATTTATGTTTATGCTGTGGTTTAGGGTGACATTTTAACTTGAAATTATGCATATTTGTTGGGAAAAAAATATAATTACTGACCCTTTCAAAAAGTATGGTTATTACACCCTTAGGTAGTAGCCTTGGTGAAAGGTTATATAAATAGTTTTTAAAAAGCAATGTAGAGAACCATTAAAAGCATATTCACAAGCATATACATACCTTCATCATCACACACCTCAATATGGTCTCTGTATCATGTGATGAAGTGAAAATTCATATGTACTCTGCTCCACCTGCAAGAAAAACATGACATAAAGACCATGAGGAAAAGAACGTCATAAAAGCTTCTTAAACACATAATCAAGAAGATTAAAAAGACAAACAAATCATCGACAAAGCACAATGTAATATTTTCTAGTCAATGAAACACACATAACACACAAAGCACTGCTTGATAGTTGATACCAGCCATATACATATGCATATACATATATGAAGAACAATACCAATGTAAACAAAAATGAAAAAAGATAAGTAAACTGGGAAAAATGCAAAAAATATTCCTCATGATAATGTTTGCACTTAACAAGTATGATCAATATGTATACACAAGAAACAAAAGCAAGAAAAAAAAAAGCTCACCAATAACCATCATATTTGCTGGAAATGGACTCTCACAATTCATTAATTTGGCATGGATGAAATAAAATGGATCAGTTCTTAATAAAATACAGTCCCTTATGCATCTTACATAGAGCATATACCTTTTTTGGGAGCCAAAATTAATTTTTTTCTTTAGTTTTTTTGTCCAAAATAGTAATTAATCGGTGTCCATTTCTCCATAACAATGATCCGATTAACCGATCCCCAAATCCACCAAATCCACTTTTTCATCGGAACTTTTCCGGCTATTGCCAGTGGCTGCTGCCGTTGTGGATCACATAAACAGGACGGCTGCCGTTGCCACCACCATACTGAAAATGGTAAGCATACTTAACGGGAACTTTTCCAGAGGCTCTCCCGGCGGCGTTAGGGTGCACCGGCGGCCTCGGCGCGTGGCGGAGGCACCGGCTGCTGGCCAACGCCGGCGATTTCGGCGACGTGGAGCCGTTGCTGCTGGAGGAGGCGGAGGACGGCGGAGACGGCAATTTTCCGGAGGATTTGGGGGCGAATAGGAAGGCTCTGATCTTCAGCGGCGCCGCCGCCGCAGCAGCCGCGCGGTCGTATTCCTCGATCAGATTCGCCAGATCCTCATCGGAGGTGATCGATACGAGCGCGTCCAGATCCTCCGTCGGCAGCTGGCACCTCAGATTCACGGCGGTGCCGCACATCTCTCCCAGCTTCACAGCCAGCTCTGTTCCAACAGATAATCGATATAATTAAACGAGAAGAAATTGAATTCAACGGACGGGAATGACAGTGGACAGGGAAAGGACGACTTACCGGAGAGTGAAACGGAGCGATCGACGGAGAGGAGGCGGGTTTCGCCGCCGTGGTAACGGAGCTTGCCGTCGGGGTAGCGGGGGAGGATTCGGCCGCCGTAGCTGCACACGAATTTAATCGTCGGCTTGAGAGCGAGTGGATTTTGGGAATTAGATTCGACCATGCTTTTTTTTTCGGTTAGGGTTTGAGATGACTTGAATTAGAAAAATTAGGGATTTGGGAGATGAGATAGAGAGACTTGGGATTGGCTGCGGTTTTGTTCAAGCCTATGGAAGGTAGGCTCACGCCACTATTTATAGAGAGCTTTTGAAGGAGCTCAGCTCAGGTCCGTTAATTTTGAGATAAAAAAGATTCCCCACCTGTGGGTCCCAACGGTGATTTTCAAAGTTATATAGGAAAATAAATAACCTAAACAAAAAAAAAATAGCATACAAGAAAATAAGTATAGGTGTGTGACTCATCATTTGTTTATAAAAATGATACTCTCTCCTATTTTTAATAAATGTCGTTTTGAAAAGTTGTACAATAATTAAGAATTATTTTTTTTGCCAATAATAACCCTCATTAACGAAGAAGAGATGGATGTTTTGAGAAAAGATGAAGAGTGAATATGAAAAGACGTAGTGTATTTATTAGATAGATGTGGGTAGTAATGGAAAAATATGTATAAAAGATTCAAAATGACATTTATTTAGTAAATTGTTGACAAAGCCAAAATGACATTTAAAAAAAAAATAGGAGGGAGTATAATTTATTTTTATTAAAATAAAATTTTTATTTTTGGTGAACTTTTAAAAGTGAGACTTGGATAGGTGAAAATATAAAAGTTTTATTCCACCGTTTTTCAAAATATGCATATTGTCATACAAATGCGGAGTACAATAGATTAATTGTGGTAGATGTATTTATATAGCACTAGCATGATGGCAACCCTCATGCAAGTCAAACATAAACTTTGCTTAAAAGTAGTTTGATTTTTTATCTAAGTAGTAAACTGTACATTATGCATTAACTCATTTATTAGACAAATTAATTATTATATGTTTGTATTTTCTCTTTATAACATGCATAATTCTATTAAAAAAAATGTCATAAAGAACTCCCTTATTACATTACGCGATGCATAAGCCAGTGAATCTCGAAAATTTCTAATTAAATGACTACTATCAATCTTCAACTGTTACCTTATCAATGTCTGGAACGAGTGAGAACTCATTGAGAAATCTCTAACTAATCGAGGAACCCATTTTGGAGATTTAGTTCGTTTCTTACGTTGCAAAGTTAGTTGTACTTTTAAATTTTAAGATAACAATAAGTTCAAAAATTAAAAATAAAATGAACAAAACTATGTTATTTGATACAATAAGCATATATATTTTTATGTCGCACTAATGTAATGAATTGATAGACATTAGGTTGCCTCACAATATTGCCTGCAGTTTACAAATTTATTAGATACAATCATTCAGAAATTTAATGCATCTAGTCATAACAACTTTTTGATATTCTAATAATGAAAATTTGAAATATTATCACTTAATAGTGAAATTAATTCATGTCTATAAAGGTGGTTCTCCAAATCTTGGTATACATAATATACCTTTCGAATTTCCTAAAGCATATTTCTCTAATTCTCTCGTTGAACTTTTGGTAAATATTAATCCAAGTAAATGAATGGAGGAATGGAGGAACTTGGGCCCAAACAACTGTCACCCTGCATAATTGGGCCCCTTGTAGCGCAACATCTATCTAATATTTATTTTTTTTCTGGATAAAATTATTTATCAGAAGAAAAACTATTGTCAATTTTTGAGGTGATAATAGAATATTTAAACCAAAAATCAGTTATGAAGAAAAAAAAATGTCAATTTAAGAGATAAATATATAAAACATGCATTCGAAAATTTAAAATTGGAGTGAACGAGTATTTTTTGCATGGAAAATAATGATAAATAATTTGTGACTTTGATAAAACCATGTATTTGAAAAAAAAAAATGTAAAAAAAAGGCTATTAATTGCAGATTATGACACCTTTGGTCCATTGTATCTTCTTGATACACTCGAGACGACCGAATTTAAAATATGACCCAATCCCACAAATCCGGGATTTGAGATCAAGAGAGGAATAACATACCATATTGGTTTTTTAGTTTATTTTCATTTTAAAACTAATAAAAAATATCAAGCTGTAATTTATGGCTTTTCACCACCATTTATACACTTGCACACACACAAAACATATTAGCAATCTCTCTCTATATATTACTAGTACAGAGCCCGTGCAACGCACGGGGTGCACAATTTAAGGCTATTTATCCAGACTTATAATTATATACATGAATAAAAAAAAATGTACGAGATATATTTATTTGGAGAATATTATATTATAAGATGCAAAATTCAAAAAAAGTTTATAATACGCAAGAAAATTGTACAATGTTCAATAAAAATTTTATAATATTAAAGTGGAGTCTTAAAGTCTCTTGTACATTAAGACTACTGACAAAATAATATTTTAATCAATGAGTTTCCTTTCCTTGTAGTCAAATTGTGAATATGATTTGAGGAGTACAACAAATCGATATATAGCTGACTTGCTTTTTTCATTGTAGTTTTTTTTTTTATAATGAATTTAAAGATATTCTAAAATATAGCAAAAATTAATTTTTTTATTACAATTAGGAATTTTACTAAATATAAACTCTCAATCTATGGTGTTAATCAACGTTTAAGTCTAAAAAATTAAGAATTTTTACCTCTTTTAATCAACGTTTAAGTCTAAAAAACAATAGAGTTATTATAATTTTTTTTTCTACATCTTTTAAAACATTAAATATGAGCATGTTAGGGCTAGCTTGTAAAATAATTAATATATTATCTCACTAAAACATTTATA